CTAACTAAAGTTCTTCAGGCTGAAATGAAGTGGTACCAAATTAAAAGTCAGATCTTCAAAGAGAAATGAAGAGCACTGGTTATAGTAACCCCCTGGGTAAATACTGGAATATTATTCCCCTCAATTCTATAAAGTAAATAGGTCTGTTTAAACCAATATTTTAACAATGTATTTTGAGATTTAGAGTGTAATATATGCAATTCACCCCCCAACTATGACATATAAAAGGATGGGAGAGAGGAATTAAATGAACAGGTATGGCTGAAATATTACTGTACATGAGTAGTACAATATTAACTCTGTTAAATGAAAAATTAATTATGTACAGTGTAATTTCTATAGCAACCACCCCAAAAATGTATTAAGTAAAAACACTAATAAATAAAGGAGAATTCTAAAACATTTACCAATTCAAAAGTTAGGACAAAAGAAATGAAGGAAAAACAGAGAACTTAAATCAGACTGCATCAGTAATTACATTACATGTTAATGGTCTAGTAGTTTCATACTGGCAAAATCCAACTCATGCTGTCTCCAAAAGGACTAAAATTATGATATAGTTAGGTTGAAAATTAAAAGGATACACCACAAAAGCAGTAAGCATAAGAAAGGGGGAGTAGCTATATTAACATCTGATAAAACAAACTCCCAAGTAAAAATATTACCAGAGATGAAGAGGGGCACATCATAATAATAAAAGGTTGAAGTCTTATCATAAATATGTAAGTAAGTACCTAAAAGTAAAGCTTCAAAATACAGGAAGCAAAAATCTTACAGAAATAAAGTAGACAACTACACAGTCATAACTGGAAATAGTTTAATACTTCATCTCAGCAACTCATAAAGAAGTATATCATTAATTAACTTCATTAACCTAATTAAATTAATTAAAAATCAGGAAAGACAGCTAAACAACACCATCAACTAGCTTAACCTAATATTTATAAAACATTACCCCACCAACTGCAGAATAGATTCAAGTGTATTTGCCAAAAAAGACCACATGCTGAGCCATAAACAAGCACAAGAGATTTAAATGGATTTAAGTTATACAGAGTATCCTTTATGATCACAATTAAATTAAATTAGAAATCAAAGCAATAAGATACCTAAGGGGCGCCTGGGTGGCTCAGTTGGTTAATGCCTGCCTTCAGCTCAGGTCACAATCTTGGGGTCCTGGGAATGAGCCCCATGTCGGGCTTCCTGCTCAGCAGGGAGTCTGCTTCTCCATATTCCTTCTGCCCCTCCTCCCCCCACAACCTTGCGCTCATGCAGGCACATGCGTGCACTCTCTCTCTCTCTCAAATAAATAAAATCTTTAAAAAAAAAAAAAAAGATACCTAAGAAATCTCCCTGCTTCTAAAATTTGGCAAATTAAACAACACAATTAGAAATAACTGATTTGTCATAGAAAATATCCTAAGGAAAATTATAAAATATTTTAAATAAGTAACAATGAAAAAAAAAACCGTATTTAAATATCTGGGATGTACCCAAAGCAGTCATTAGAGGGAAAAAATTCTTATAGAAAAAGAAAATAGATAAGCAAAAAAATAAGTAAAATTCTTACAGAATGCTCATTAGGGAAAAAAGAAAAATATGAAAATCAGACCTAGAGTTCCAATGTAAAAAGCTTTAAAAAGAGCTAAATAACTCTAAGTAAGGAAAAGGAAGGAAAAAGTAAAAATAATGAAACAGAAAACATAATAGTTAATGTTACTAAATGCAGCTAAAGACAAATGTTAGTTCTTTGAAAAGATTAACAAAATTGATAAATGACAACCTAGATTGATAAAATGAGAAAACAAATTACCATTATCAGGAATGAATGAAGGATTATCACTACAAAGCCCAGAAACATGAAAGGCATAAGAAAATAATATGTACAACTGCACACCAAAAACTCTGGTAACTTCCATGAAATGGAGAAATTCCTTAAGAATACTATTAACTAAAACTGACACAAAATGAAAATAAAATCTGAACAGCAATATATACATATGCATATATGAAAGTTAAATGTTATTAAAAACCTTCCCACAGGGGTGCCTGGGTGGCTCAGTCATTAAGCATCTGCCTTCGGCTCAGGTCATGATCCCAGGGTCCTGGGATCGAGCCCCGCATCAGGCTCCCTGCTCGGCAGGAAGCCTGCTTCTCCCTCTCCCACTCCTCCTGCTTGTGTTCCCTCTCTCGCTGTGTCTCTCCGTGTCAAATAAATAAATAAAATCATAAAAAAAAAAAAAAACCTTCCCACAAAGCAAATTTTCAGCCCAGATAGTTGCTTAGGTGAATCTATCAAACGTTTAAGAAGTATCACCAATATAACACAGTTGCTTTCAGAAAACAAAGGGAGACTATTTTCCACTTCATTTTATGAAGGCAGATAACTCTAATACCAAATAAAATAATATAAATATAAAAAGGATAATACATTATGGCCAAGGACTATCCCAGGAATTCAAAGTTGGTTTAACATTTGAAAAGTTGGTTTAACATTTTAAAATCTAACAAGTAATTTACCACATTAACAGAACAAAGGTGAAAAATGTTATCATCTCTACAGATGAAGAAAAACAGTATGTGGCAATATTCAACACCCATTCATGATAAAAACTCTAAGTGAAATAGGAAGAGAACAGAACGTCCTGAACCCGGCAAAGGCAAGTGATGAAAAATCTACCACTAACACCATACTTGAAATTTTTAAAAGCATATTATAAAAACCTTTAATGGAAATCTAGAAGACTTATAAAATCAATGGAGACAATCTTTTTAACAAAAATTATAAACTCAAAAGTTATAAGATTTGAATATATAAAAATGTAAAGCTTATGAATAAAAATTATAAAGCAAAAAAAGCACATCTAAATGTCCAATATATTTATGAAAAGGATGTTCAAATTCACTAGCCAGAAAAAAGAAATGAAGATAACAATGAGTAAACTTTAGAGTTATCAGTCTATCAAAAATTAAACAGAACTACACCTGCAGACATTTAGGTATCTCACACATTGTAGATAGAAATATGATGAACTACAGTCTTTTTGGGAATACTATTAAAGGTAAAATGCATATACCCTTTGATCCAGCAATCCCACACTCGAGAATAAAAAGACATAAGAGTCTCTGATCCAGCAATCATATTCTTGAGAATCAGAGGAAAGTCCCCATTATACAAAGACATATATAATAAGATACTACTATAACAATGTTTATGTTAGCAAAATAATGGAAACAAATACCACTGATATGGAAATCATGGAATCAATTATGTATAACCTCTGAAGAGCATTATAGCCAATGTATGATAGTACGTTTCACTACGTAGTTATCGCAAACACTGATTTAGAGCTTGATTATCAGGTGAGTACTTCCAGGAAATATTATTGAGTGAGAAAAATGAGATACAAAAGCAAGCATCCAAAAACCCATACAAAATTTTAAAAGCTGCACCAGAACATGTTTGTGTTTCTGTATGCTGTATCATATCATAGAAGATAAATATGCCTGGGTGTTAACAGGGGTTGGCTTTCAGACAGCAAGAGAGGAGGAAAGTCTATGTGTAAGACATCGGCAGACCTCAACCAAAAGAGAAAGAAAAAAAACTTGGAAAAAATAGGTAAATAATTATATTTGTGATCTATAAACTCAAATAAAATATGTATTTGTATGAATATATATGCAGAAGTGAAATGAAAATTAAGTTTATAAAAATGTTCAAGACATGATTGTTGAGTATCTTTCTACTTTCATCTCAATAGGAGTTTGAAGTTTTGTGGTTTAAGCTAGATTTTTTTTTCCATAGAGACAAAAAGAAGAAGTCCTGCATTCTTTCTTCATCTCAGAATTAAATTTTAAATTAATTAAATTTATTATGTAAGAAAGTTATAGGATACTGACAATGGTACTGAAGGAAACATCAGAAAATCTGTCATAAAACTAAGGAATGAGAACAGGTGCATACACATCATTTGGCCATTTCCTTCAGTGCAGGTTGATTTTGGAGCTCCAGCCGCCTTATTCCCCTCGCAAAGAGGTAATATACATTACATATAGTGCATGGAACTGGAGAAGAATAAAGTTAAATTTAATGTTCAGTATTAAATACTAATTTCTCAATGGAAATCTAAATTCTATAAAACTCTCCATTACAAAGAAATGACTAAAATAGATTAGTTTTTTCAAATAATTTATGTCACAGAATCACAACTCCAGAAAAATAAATTCTCCTAACTTTCATTCTAAAGGGCCTGCAGGCAAGGAGAATAAGTATCAAGTTTTCATGTAATTCCCAAGCTCCAACATTAAGAGAAGTAATAAATTTCATTTGGAGAAAAACCTAAGTGGCAAAAATTTCAGTCAGCATAAATTATTTCAATGCAAGTTAAATAGGCTGACATTATTCAAATTTTTTAATATTAATTGTGTATCTTTGCATGATTTAAAGTTATCCAAAAAAATTTTTCATCTGTTTCTAAGTGAAACCAGTATTTTCTATCAAAATGAAACAAAGTGCAAAAATGTTGAGTTCACTTTGAACTTCAATAGTACAAATACCATAATAAGGACCCTATCTATAGTCAACATCATGAATTATGTCTTCCCTATCCTTCAGCAATGGGAAGCCCTGATTTTAAGGCATATTTGTGTTCCATTTTGACTTAGAAGAAGTTCAACAGGTAGTGTACAAAAAATTAGAGAGGGAAAGCACTCTGAATCCATTAGAGCATGAAATGGAAATGAATAAGCAAATAAAAGAAACAAACGGGTGAGGAAAAAAATAGACTTGGAGGAACTGGAATACAGTTAAGGCCAGTGAACTGTGGCAAAGTAAAGAACAATAAAAAAAAAGAATGCTCTAAAGAAATATATTTCTGAATATATAGAGAGAAAAACAATTTAAGTCTTAGAAAGTATGGTGGGGAGAGATCATTAATTTCTAACATTAAGTTAATCTAATTCTTTCAGAACAGGAATAATCATATAAAGATAAAATTTACCTTTTCAGATTCACCATTGCCCAAGGAATCCCAGTAGGTGTGTTAAAGGCAGGAAGGAGTTTCTCAGCCAGTTGAACTGCTTTAATCTTGAATATCTGAGGTCAAAACACAAAAACATTTTTTATAAAAAAAAAAAATTATAGCCACCCATTCATAAATTATAGCCATTATCATTTGCTGATCTCTCACAGGATGCATACTACAGGGAAGAAGTCCAAGGGGGAGAAATGGCATCTCTTTAGTACCACGTAGCATACAGCAATCAGAGAAAATGTTTTTAAGCTGGATACTGAGGAAAACTACCAGTGTGTAATGTCCTGAAATTATAATTATTGAAAGGGAAGGATATGGTTTAGGTGTTAATATTATCTGTATTTTCAAATGGCAAAAGTCTTAGAGAAAACGTCAGGTTACAAAATGTCCACACAATGGTATATAAGCTTAGTACAAATATTAAAGCAAAAAGATGCAACCCAATTTGGATAAATGTCCTTGAATTACTATAGGCATGTTTATGTCTCAACATTTTCCATCAAGGTTCGTCCACATTATTTAAAAAGAAAAGGTTTGAGTTCACATTCCAAGTTTACTTTGAGAGTAATAAATGCTTCACCCCTCAGTCCTAATTACTGTTATTTTGGGTACCAAAACAATAAACTGCCTTAATATCAGTGGTTTCCAAACTTTTAAAATCATGTACTACTACCAAAATATACACAGTAAAATTTCTAATATTCTTAGCATATCCAAATAGGCTTGTGTATCCCACTTTGGAGACTGTTGACTTAGAGGCTCTAAACTGAAACTGAGTCATAATATCCTATTAGGAAAAGCAGTATGTTCTCTTCTATGCTTCAAGCCTATCTTTTCTCAAATTGATTTCAAACTGATTGGTCAGATACTTTAGCTCCCATCTTTTCACTGCAGTCAAATGTTGTTGATAAAATATTATTAGATCCTTCAAATAAATAAGTAGTTGACAGTCTGGAACAGATCAAAAGTTCTACACTGAGGTTACATTAAACAAAGCATCCCAACATTACTGGGGGTAGAAGATATTAGAAATATGTGCAAGCTGACAAAGAAATATGATGTTGTTTTGCAAGATTCCTTAAATGAGGCAAAACCTTTAGCAGAACTTTTAATTAGATATTCTCCTACTTCAACAATTTACCATTTCCTTGAATACCTACTTTGACACAAAAGTCTCAATGAAAAATGTAACAATTTAAGGTTAAAGTTTTAATAATTTTCTCATATTCATCTCATTAATTCAGAAAAGCAAATGTAAACTGTTCTCTCCATATTAACATTTATGTTAGAAAAGCCAAGTTACATTATATAGTGAAGAGTAGTACTGCTTGTGTTTACCGTACTGCTTGTGTTTACCATGAAGACAAAGGGACTAAGTTCTTACCTAATACTAGTATCATGGATTTATTAATCACACATTTTTATATTACATCTTTTCTACATATAAAAACTAATAGTCGAGGGCGCCTGGGTGGCTCAGTCGTTAAGCGTCTGCCTTCGGCTCAGGTCATGATCCCAGGGTCCTGGGATCGAGTCCCAATCAGGCTCCCTGCTCAGCGGGAGACCTGCTTCTCCCTCTCCCACTCCCCCTGCTTGTGTTCCTGCCCTCGCTGTGTCTCTCTCTGTCAAATAAATAAATAAAATCTTTTAAAAAAAACTAATAGTCGAAATGGTAAAATGACTTACAAACATAAACATTTTCTAGGTAGAAAGCATTCTCACTGCACTTCCAGGAGTAAATTTCCAAAAGATATTTTCTAATTTTCACCTACTTTGTACTATTAATAAGATAACATATATACTAACCAGTTATAGCACACCGTTCCCCCCAACACAACACCCTAATATTAATATCACTGAGAAAAATTTCCTTAGTGTGTTTATCTTAACTTATTCACAAATATACAAACTCTTTAATGATAAATCATAGCCCTACATAATCTATTTTCAGAAACATTTTATAGATAGAAGCAACAGCTAATTTAAAACACATTATTTTTTGGCATGCAAAATCCAGAATGTATCAAAGTAAAAAAAAAATAAGTCTCTTTTCCAGTCCTATTCCTCAACCCCAGTTTCTTCTACAATGCAAACAGCTATCAGTTTCTTAAATATCTAGTAAATATTTTGCGTTAAATCAGTTCTGTGATGTGCATGGTTCTTAGCCTTGTCACATCAAATCCTCATTTTCTGACCCTCCCAGAAATGGAAATTCTGTTACAGTTTACACACACACACACACACACACAGTTTTTGTCTCTGTCTCTCTCAAACATGGGAGAGCATTCGCTCTATTCTGAATTTGCTTCTTTCACTTTACTGTACCTTGGAGATCTTTCCAAATCAGTCTACAAAGGTCTCCACATCCTTCTCCTTAGTGGCTGCAGAATTTCTCCTTGTATGGATATACTGGAATTTATTTAGTCAGTCCCCTACATGACAGACATATGTTTCCAAACTATGTGACTATATAAGATAAATTCCAAAATGGGAACTGAAGTATCAATGGGCATATTCATTTGTAATTTTGACAGTTAATGCCATTTTGTCTTCCACGCGTTTTACTAATTTATATTCTTACTGGAATGTGTGAGTAGCCATTCCCCTGTGTTCTTGTTAACACAAAAGTTAGCAAACTTTTGATTGCTGCCAATCTCATGCAGGCCTCAATTTACAATGGTCCAACTTAATGATGAACACTTCACAATTTCTCAACTTTACAGTGGTGTGAAAGTGATATGCACTCAGTAGAAACCAAATATAAATTTTTATCTTTTCCCAGGCTAGGCAGGGAACCACAGGTCCCAGTTAGCCATGGGATCATGAAGGTAAACATCCAATATACTTCCAACCATTCTGTGCCACACAGCCATTGTGTCTTTCACTTTCAGTATAGGATTCAATAAATTACAGAGATATTCAGCACCATTATAAAATAGGCTTTGTGTTATGATTTTGCACAACTGTAGGCCAATGGAAGTATTCTGAACACATTTAAGGTAGGCTAGGCTAAGCTATAATGCTCAGTAGATTAAGTGTATTACATGCATTTTCAATTTACAATATTTTCAACTTTAATGGGTTTATCAGGAGGTAACTCCACTGTAAGTCAAGGAAGATCTACAGTTGAAAAAGGAGACTCTGGTGTCATTTTTATTTTCATTACTTTTATTACAAATGCAGTAGATACTCAACACTCATTCAAATCTCCTTTCAAGCACACCTTCAAACACTGCAGAGGATGGAAAACTGCGTAACATTTCCCAGAGTCCACTCCACCTATGGTTCAACATATGGCACAGGCATTGCCAAGCATACGTAAATACGTGGTATTTGGAAGGGAGAAGAAAGGGATCTGAGGCAGTGGCCTTGCAAACATCGTGGTGGAGCTATCTGATTCTTCTGTCGTGGCTCTAACGGAAGTTCTAGTGACTGGTCCCCATCTTCACAGAGACCATGTGGGCAATAAAGGCAATCGATTAGATACATGGTATGGCATGCTTGGGCATTTCTCCTGACTGCATGGTTCCAAGATATATAACAAAAAAGCTTCATGTCATGGCCCTCCCCAAGATTCAGTTAACTAGTCAGTACCCTGTAATAAACCACAAGGTAAAAGAGATTCTGCCAATTTTACTATGATTCTTGATGGATAAGATGATGAGAGCAACTCAATTATGTATGTTTAAGAGGCTCAATAGTATTAAGACTTCTACAACATTTCAGTTATTTACAGAAAAAACTTTTATGTGTTCAACATCCATTATGTAAAATCTTCCAGTTATTTTTACCAGAAAAAAACAGTAGGTGATGGAACTATGCTAAAACTGGTTCTAGGTTTAAAAGAATTAGGACTGGAAGAATTATTCCTAGGTGTGGAAGAACTGGAAGAAATGGGGTTAAATGGATACAATGTGGCAAAATTACAAAAAGCTTTAAAATAAAAGCGATGAAACTTAAAGTAACATAACCGAAAACACAGAGAACCACTGTAGATTCGTGAGGAGGGACATTAGAATCCACGGGTGCTAGCAAAAGAAACAGTCAACAAAACCAAAAGACAACCGACAGAATGGGAGAAGATATTTGCAAATAATGTATCAGATAAAGGGCTAGTATCCAAAATCTATCCAAAACTGACTTATCAAGCTCAACACCCAAAGAACAAATAATCCAATCAAGAAATGGGCAGAAGACATAAACAGATATTTCTCCAGAGACATACAAATGGCCTACAGACACATGAAAAATGCTCAACATCACTCAGCATCAGGGAAATATAAAGCAAAACCACAATGAGATACCACTTCACACCAGTCCGAATGGCTAAAATTAACAAGTCAGGAAATGACTTGTTGATGAGGATGTGGAGAAAGGGGAACCCTGTTACACTGTTGGTGGGAATGCGAGCTGGTACACCTGCTCTGGAAAACAGCATGGAGGTTCCTCAAGAAGTTGAAAATAGAGCTACCCTACAACCCAGCAATTCCACTACTGGGTATTTACCCCAAAGAGACAAATGTAGTGATCCAAAGGAGCACCTGCACCCAATGTTTGTAGCACCAATGTCCACAATAGCCAAACTACGGAAAGAGCCCAGATGTTCATCGACAGATGAATGCATAAAGAAGATATGGTATACAGGGGTGCCTGGGTGGCTCAGTCGTTAAGCGTCTGCCTTTGGCTCAGGTCATGATCCCAGGGTCCTGGGATCGAGTCCCGCTTCGGGCTCCCTGCTCGGTGAGAAGCCTGCTTCTCCCTCTCCCACTCCCGCTCCCCCTGCTTATGCTGTGTCACTCTCTGTCAAATAATAAAATCTTAAAAAAAAAAAAAAAAGATGCGGTATACACACAATGGAATATTACACAGCCATCAAAAAATGAAATCTTGCCATTTGCAATGACGTGGATGGAACTAGAGGGTATTACACTAAGCGAAATAAGTCAATCGGGAGATAAGACAATTATATGATTTCACTCGTGGAATTTAAGAAACAAAACAGAGGATCATAAGGAAAGAGAGGAAAAAATAAAACAAAATGAAATCAAAGAGGGAGACAAAC